ACTCTGCAAGAGAGTTTTAATTAGCATTAGCTCATAAGCTTGATATGAATTTGCGAATCCAACAGTACCAGTACCAGGAATGGAGTGATGAAATCATGAAGTGTATGGTTTACATGAGAAATAAATAGTGTGCATCCACAAAATCTTAGATCTGGTTGGTCGGTATGATTATAACTGTCACACATTGCCTATTTTTCACATAATAAAGTATTGCATATATTTAGTTATTGCATAGCTACAATTTTAAATTTTTTAAATGGTTTTATCATTGTAATGAGAGTGATTCTGTAATCAACATATAGTATATCTATAGTTGTTAAAAGAAACCTATAATAACAAAAAACGAACCTGCTTTTAACTTTTGCCTGAAAATTTCTAAAAATTGGACAATAGACGAACTGATGAAAAGTGGCATAATTGATAAAACTTATGAAGCCAACAAAACTGATTAAAGATAGCGAAAATAACAAAAGGTGGCATAACTGATGAAAACTAATGAAATTGACAAAAGGTAGTGAAACTGATAAGCAATAGCAAAGAAGACATACCTGACGAAAGAAATATATCTGATGAAAAGTATTTAATTGAAGGTGATAAACCTGACAAAATGTTGTTTAACTGATGAAATACATAATATTTAATTGTATCACCGTTTCTGGTTTTAGCATGATAACATCGCGCAGCTACCTAATAATACTAATCCAAGATTATCTGCCGTACAATAAATGCTTAACAAATCAACTAGTTCCTTCAAAATGGATCTTTGGATGAGAATCGGACCTCAATTCCTTTGTATTTAAAAAATTTATAATGTTAGTAGCTTTCTTAATAGTTCATATCTTTTCTAATAAATAGTTTTTATAAATAGTTTTTATAATTATTCACTAAATGAAATAATTGTATGATTATTTAATAATAAACTCTTATAAGCATAACTTACAGCTTAATATTATGCTTACTTTCTAAAGAATACCAATTCTGTAATTGTAATAAATGACTATATTATAAATTCCCCTAGAATTACCTGTCTCGACTGATTTCTGATTATGTATAAATGCCTTTTGCTTGGTCAAATAATACATTCCATTAGAAAATGAATATCTTATTTCTATCTTTTTAAAAATTCAACATGTTGAATGGCACTCTTCAATTGCACATATGATAAAGATATTTGAATGGTAGGTCAATTGGCAGTTGAATAGTCTGTTCGATATGTCAAATTTTGACTTTGACCAGTGCATAACAATAACTGAGCAAGAATACCTTCTGGATTATTCACATGCAAAATTTAGTTAACTTGGTAATTTTATACTTCCAACTATATGTTTTTTAAATGTAACTTTGCTAAGAAGTAGCAACACAAGGGTGTAAGATTAACAGGGATTAAATAAATATGTTATAGTGTGGTTTGAATACTTCAAGTTTGCTTAGAAGACTTATCCACCTTTCATAGCAAGATAAGTTACGCAAACTTCCTAAAAAAGTATTGTAATAAAACAATATAAAAAAAATGATGGGGCGTTCACCTCTGCTACTGTACTATTGCATTGGTCACATAATTAAGAGTAAAAGATTTCTATTAGTTGGTATATTAACAAAACCAATCTTCACTTTGCTGACACGACCAGGATACGAAAACCGATTAAGTAGTAAATCTTTTAAAGATTATTTAGATAGATCATTCAAGCTCTAATTTATTTATAATAATTTAATAAGATTTATACTACTGTATAATATTGGGAATCAAAAAAAATAGGTTTTGGTGGCAGGAGGATTAAATGAAGTTACATTTTAATATGAAAATATTGAGGTTTAGAAACAAAATTAAAAGTAGAATTTTGGGTAAAATATAATGCCTGATTTTCATAATTAAGAATTTCAAAAATTGCCGATTTTCTGTTCATGTCTTTGCCACTATCCTTCATTGTTTTTCTAAAAAATGTTGAAACTTGATTATGGTTTTTTTTTTTCTACTATCGTGCAAGAAAATGCTGCTAATTCAAAATGCTGATGATACTTCATAAATTCAGAGATATGATAAATTAAAACATGTATATATGGAGTAACATCTTTTGGACAATAGAGTCCTTTTTTAAAATATATTGTGTTTGGTTCACCTTGATAAGGTGTAAGAAATAAGTCAAGCCATTTTTTTGCCTGAACCATAAAAAAAGTAGGTTCGGTTTCTCGATTTTTCATAAGCTTGTAAAGTGTGTAAAAATCCCTTCACAAACGATTAATTAATATAGCTCATTCTTCATCAAAAATGACAAAATTAAAATCACATAATACCTTTTCTTTATCATCTCCCATCAAAGATGTATAATGCCAACTTTGCGCATAATCTTGCCAGAAATGGAAACCAACTGAAATCCTTTGCATTTCTATATTGATAATTGCTCTAACATGATTATCAAATCTATTTTCCGATTTTAATTCTTGAATTACTAATTCCCAAAGGCGATTCCAGATTCTCAACATTATATGTAGTTCATCAGGTACATAATGATTCAGAGAAATCATAGGAAGAAGAGAAACTTTAAGATGTCCAGGTAATGGTAGATTTAAAGTTTGTGAAGTACGATTGTTAAAAAATTCTGACTTAAGTTGATTCATATTTTTTTCGATCTTATACATCTTATCTTTGTTGCCAATTTCTTTTTTTGTACATAAGCATCAAGAACAAAAATAGGTAGCATTTGGTGCATTAAATCCTAACATTATAGCCATAAATTTCCAATCACTACTAAAATATAGTTTAATTTTCCATTTTATTCCATTGGAATCTAATCCATTAGTTATCAAATTATGTAATTCACTGATCATCGATTCCATTACTTTTTGTAACATTTCATAGTTTTCTCCTCCCAGATATAGAATTATTGTATAGTGTGAATCAGCTTTATAAATATTTGAAATGTCATCCAAAATTGTACAGGTGATCATTACATGTTTGATTTTTCTACTTACATTGCATCCATTACCTGATATGTGAACATTAATTACTGGATTATTTACATTAAGAACATTTCGAGCCACAAGGCCTGGAATTATGAAGAGCAAAATGTCATTAACTCATCTATAGTCTGCTTTGCCTATATATTGTGAAATCTCTTCTTTAATGTCCTGATCACTTATATAAGGTGTTTCGTTGGTTGTTGTAAGAGATATATCCTTAATATTTAAAATACTAATAGAAATTTTTTTATTCATTTCTTCATTTATTTTTTTTTTTGTATTTGAGATATTGTAATCTTGTGGTAACTCTAGTTGGAGTGCAGCTAGGTTTCGGTAGGCATTTCGAGAAATTGGACCTTGGTCAATAACTTTTAAAAATGCATCTAAAGATTGATTTTCTTTTTCTTGATCTTTGTTCTGATAATAAGCTAAATAATTTTTATTTTAAACATGGAACCAGACTTCTTGTAAAACTGGTCGATCAAATGAGTTGTAAAATTTGGAAATTTCATTTTCAAATGCTTCACCGATTTGTATAGAAAATCCACGAGAATGTTTTGTCTTCATAGATTCGCTTAATGTGTTAAATGGTTTAAAAGAATTGGATCAGATATTTTTTCTTTCACATTTTTGCTCTATGTCTGTAGCATTAAGACCAAATACATGTATGCCAGAAAGTTTTGCATTTGTATTAGGATTTTTTTTCTACATTAATAAAAATTAAAACATATTTTTATATTGATAAAAATTATACAAAATATTCATTTAAAAAAAAATATATATTGACTTGTAAATAATTATTGGCAACAGCAGTTGAAGACTTTTTTGATTCTATTATATAGTGTTGAGAATTTTCATTAAACCTAATCCTAAAAACTGGCCCATCCGAATCGTATTCAATTTCATACTCTATTATATGCCATGATTTTCTTCTGCCCTAACTAGTTTGAACTAAATAATTATCTGGAATTTTGTATTTAGTTCCACTACGAGAACATGCCAAAGTATAGTATATTTTACTATTTAATAGATAAAATTCTTCATTAATAATGTGGTAATTATAATTAGTGTTGCTTTGTTTAAGCATAAAAGGATTATTCTCAGGATATTTATTTTGGTTAAGAGACATCGCAATTATTTTAAGCTTATTGTTAATGTGTAAATTTTAAATTAAAATAAATTTTAATTCAATTATGATAAAATTTTAGGGTGCCTTTTTTTTTGACTTTTTTTAAAGTTTTGGTTAAGTATTTGAGTTAGTGTTAGGAAAGTGTTAGTGTTAGAAGAGTGTTAGTATTAAAAAAGTGGTAGTGGTTTTAGATGCCTCATTATGACAGATTTGTGGAATTGAGCCTTTATTTAAATTCTCAAATTTAACTATAATATTGCAGAGAAATGTTTTGCTTTTTTTTT